CTATTTTTTATAAACTTTTTTTTTTTTTACTCTCTAAAACTTTAAACTTTTTTGTTAAAAACAAAGACACAAACACACACATTAGCCTAGGCCTGCACAGGGTCAGGATCATCCATATCACTGTTTTCCACCTCCACATCTTGTCCCACTTGAAGGTCTTCAGGGGCAGTAACATGCATGGAGCTGTCATCTCCTATCCTAACAGTGTCTTCTTCTGGAATACCTTCTGGAGGACCTCCTGAGGCTATTTTACAGTTAACAATTTTTTATAATTAGAAGGAGTACACTCTAATGATAAAATGTATAGTATAATATAGTAAACACATAAACCAGTAACATAATCATTTATTATCTTATCAAGTATTATGCACTGCACATAATTGTATGTGCTATACTTTTATGCAACTGGCAGTGCAGTAGGTTTGTTTACACCAGAAACAATGTGAATGGTTGTTTATCATCACAACACATAAATGATGCATTGCACTATGACTTTATGAGGGCTACGATGTCACTAGGCAATAATAATTTTTCAGTTCCATTTTAATCTTATGGGACCCATTGTATATGTAGCCCATCGTTGACTTAATCATCATTGTGTGGCACATGACTGTAATCAAGAGATGATTAAAGTATACAGAGGATGTGCATAGCTTATAGGCAAATACTGTGCCATTTTATACCAGGGACTTGAGCATCCTCAGATTTTGGTATCTGTGGGAGGTCCTGGAACCAATCCCCCATGGAAATCAAGGGACAATTGTAGTATGTTCCAGTGTTCAGTTCCATCTAATCTTCATTCTGCTCTGCTACATTTTCAACCTCTGCAGGCCAAAAGCCCTGAATTCTCTGCCTAGCCCTCTTTTGTCCAGGTAGAGACCCAGAAGCCCATTTGGGGAAGAGCTGTCAGAAGGGTAAGTCATAGACAGGAGTGGCAGCTTGTATGACTATGATGGACATCAGAGGGACACAGGATTTCTCTCCTAGCCTTTATTTCTAAGTAGACCCCTTTCAGAAGCACCCTCCACCCCAGATGGGTTTGCCAAGTCCTAGTCCTGATGTCTAACTAATCCCTTTCCCTGGACTATGTGAGCCTACTGGGCTATAGAGCTAGGCAGTAACCAGCCAAATCTCTTCTTAGTTACAGATACATGTGGCACAACAAGGCAGGTGCCTCGGTATCCAGGTGGACAGATTGTGATCATACTCATTTGGAATCAAAGAGCAGCTGTATTGGGCCCCCAGACTGTTGGTCTCTAGATCAGTGGGGCCCCCATTAGATCCCACACAAGATGGCAGTCATCAACAATTGAGCTCCACCAAGTCCCTGTGGGACTGAGGTCTGACGATCTCTTGAGGACTCTTCCCCTATCACACTGATCTTTCTGAAGACAAATTTTATCATCGGATATGTGTCAGGTAGGACTCTTCTGGTTGCAAGTGAATTTTTAAAAATTCTAATTGGCTTAAGCAAAAAAGAGCATATGAAACTAAAAAGGACCAGGGTCAGCTGGCTTCAGGCAAAACTTCACACTAGGTTCAAAGAATGGCATCGCCCAGTTTAGCTGTGCCTCTGCTCTGCTGTCTCTGTTGGTTTCAATCTCAGACTTCACATCTATGGAAAAATGGCTACCAGCAATTCCAAGCTTCATCTTCCCAGATACACGTCCAATGAGAAAAGAACAAGTCTCTTCCCCAGTGCTCAGGATCAATTCCTGGAATTCACTCAGAAAGAGCACTCTTGGGCCATGCACCTGTCCCTGAACTAATCTCTACAGTCATAGCGATGGAACAGGACACAGTCCCAACACATCCAAGCTGTGCTCTCCTCTAAAGTCTGGTCACCAAGGCAGCAGCAACCTCAAGTCCCAATTTCTCAGTCAAACCAATCTGCCCATGTCCACTTCCAGCTCTCAGCTTCTACAGAACTCTTTGTCCTCCCATCTTTTTTTTCCCCTGGGCTGTCCACCCAGAGGCTACCTCACTGAGCCTGTTGGCCAGCTGGCCCTCCCTGGTTCTTGATATAGCCTACTCCTCGGTGCCCTCTCTTCCACCTCCAAGTTTAAGCCTGAACTCAGGAACTGGAAAATCGTCTTTCAAAACCCTAAATCTGTTAGCACCAGGCAGCCAGAGTTCCTAGAGAAAGACAGAGCTTCCCTGTGCTCAGGTGCCCAGAGTGTGCCCCTGCCCGGTTGCCTGGCACAGGAGACCAGCTGTGGTTCCAGATGAGGCGTGTGAAGAACTGGTAAGACAGAGGGCAGAACAAGAGCCATTCAGGAAACAAAACCTCTAATCCAGCTTCCTCCTAGATGGTACAGACTGTGAAGGGCCTTAAATGCTGTGTCAAGGAGCTGAGACTTGATCCAACAGGAGGTGAAGAGTAGTCAAAAGGCTTGCTGGATGGGTGAATGGGTGGATGAACACACAAACAAGTAACCTTAGCTCAGAGATGGAAAGCGACTTGCCCCATATCACATAGGAAGCAAGTGGCAGAAACAGGACCAAACTCCAAGCCTACCTGTGCCCATCCTAGGGCTCTAGTATCAGCCCAGGCTGCTTCCATCTCAACAGGGCAGCCTGGGAAACTTGGAGATTGTCAGGCACTTCTCAGAGGCACCAGACCTGGGCTTCTGAGCTTGGAGCAAAAACAGAGGCCTGGGCATTAGAAATGTGGACACTGGGAAATTTCAGGAAGGCTTGAGCTGGTGCCTGAAGTTGAGGCTGGGGAATTTGAGTAAGACTGAATTCTCTAAGAGTGAGGTAGAAGAGGGGCAGGGGAGCCTGCCTGAAGCTCTGCTATGCTTTGCTCTGGGAGAGTCTGGCCAGATCCCCAGAGGGCAGCCCATCCCTGACGAAGCCCAGAACTCAGCAGGAGGGGACCACGACTCCTGGGGAAGAGTTGGGTGGAGATGAGGGGTGTTATCTTTGGCTTCCAAAGGCCTTGCCAGTGTTCCTGCTAAGCCTGGCACTTTGCCCCAGGGCACAGAGCTGTAATTTAGAGACAGCAGGGACTGGGATCCAGGGCAGAGGGGAGGAAGCCTTCTGGCCCTTGGTTTAGGGGAGGCTAAAACTAGTTTAGGACAGGATACATCAGGATATCAGAGGTGAAGAAAGATCCAGGATTTTCATGAGAGCAAGAACTTTGCTGTCTGGCTCACCATTGTATCTCCAGAGCCTGGAACAAACCCTGACACATAATAGGTCCTCAATAAATATTTGTCGAATTAATATTTTTCACTCCCTTTTGCTGCCCACAATTTCCTCTCTACTGGATCTCCAGCATATAATAAAAAGTCTGCATAGAGTCAAGTCAGCACATTTACAGTGGTTGGCTGATGACTTTCTGTGCCCAGAGTGGCTGCACATCCCAACTAGAACGGTTTGCCCTTAGCTCCATCAAACATATTTGATGGATACAAAAAGTATGAGGCTGGAAATCAAGAAATTTAGGTCCTAGGTACAGCCCACTGTTTATCAATGACAGATGTGAAAAAACTTTCAGAACATCTTCACAATTAATTCTCCTCTTGTTATGCCCATTTCATAGATGTGAAAACTAAGTTGAGGCTGGCACTAGATCACACAGCCTTGGAGTGGCAGAGCAAGCCTGACATCCCAGGAACTTGCTGTGCAACTATCAGTAGCTTCTTTCCCCTCTCTGTGCCTGTTTTCTCACCTGCATTATTGAGGTTTCCAAAGACAGTCCCAGATCTCCTACGGTAAAGGCAGGAGGCAACTGTCCGAGTACCCCGCCACCCCTGCTAAAGGCTGGTCCAGCTTAAATGTACTGCAGAGAGGGGTCCACAGGGCAAGATCAGGCCACAGTGGATGTCTGGGGCTGCTTGGGCCCAGCATGTCTGAGGCCATCTTTCGTTTGGATCTTTCTATTACCTCTTCCTAGAACAGAGTAGAAGACCGGAAAGGACTTTTCAGGAGAAGTGAGAGGTGAGGTTAGAAAGGCAGGAAAGAAAGAAAAGGGAAAACAAAAGTAAAGAAAGATACACTAGTGCCCAACAGGTAAAATAAAAGATAAATCAAAACCACAATGCAAATCAAAACCACAGTGAGTGATCACCTCACACCTGTTAGGCTGACTATTATCAAAAAGACAAGAGATGACAAGGGTTGGCAAAGATGTAGATAAAAGGTAACCCTTGTATACTGTTGATGAGAATGTAAATTGGTACAACCATTATGGAAAACAGTATGGAGGTTCCTCAAAAAGTTACAACGATCTGGTAATCCTACTATTGGGCATATACCCTAAAGGAAATGAAATCACCACCTTGGAAAGATAGCTGCACTCCCATGTTCATTGCAGCATTATTCAAAACCACCAAGATATGAAAATGACCAAAGTGTCCATCAAGAGATAAATGGTAAAGAAATCATGATATATATGTATAAAGATATGTGTGTATATATATTTCTTTGTGTATATATAAACATATATATGTGTTACATATATTTATATATAAATGTAAACACACACAAAGAAATATTATTCAGCCTTGAAAAGAAAGTTATCCTGCCATTTGTAACAACGTAGATGAACCTAAAGGACATTATGCTAAGTAAAATAAACCAGACACAGGAAGAAAGAAAAATACTGCATGATTTCACTTATACATGAATCTAAAAAAAATTGAATACATAAAAACAGAAGAATGATGATTGATGGGAGGGACTGGACAGACGTAGGTCAAAGGGTTGAAAGGTGTAGTTGTATAGGATGAATAAGACTAGAGATTAAATGGACAGCATGAGGACTATAGTTAATAACATTGTATTGCATACTGGAAATTTGCTAAGAGGGTGGATTTTAAGTTCTCTCACCAAAAAAAGAAAGAAAGGTAACTATGTGAGATAATGGATATGTCAATTTCCTCGGCCATAGTAACTGCTTCGGCTACTGATAGAAAGAAGCTACTGATAGTTGCACAGCAAGTTCCTGCCTATGTATATTATGCATACAAATGTACATTAAAACATCATGTTGCATGTTTTAAGAAAGGAAGGAAAGTCAGCACTCCTCTTGACAATGACAGAAAAGGCCCTGCAGCCTGACAACATGCATACAATTAAGGTATCGCCACCTACTTCAAGGCATCAACTACTTCCACTAACCATCCTTTTTAAAACGCAAAAGGTTTGCTTTGGGGGAGCTTCCTGGTAGCTGAACACCTGGAGGCTCCTGGAAGGTGGTGCATCCAGAGAGGGCATGGAGCCCCTCGCCTCTTCGCACATCTCTTGCCCTAGGCATCTATTCTGTCCATCTGGCTGTTGTTCATCTGCATTCTTTGTAATATCCTTTATAATAAATTGGTAAACTTTTTTTAAAATTATGTCCTTCACTGGCTCCTTTGTAAACCCACTGGCAGGAGTGTCCCACTCAGAACCTAACAGTTCAACCTCCATAGCAAGGCTGCAATCAGCTGTACCATGCTCAGGGGACCCATGGATGAGAGACAAGCCTGTCCCCCAGGAAGTCCAGTCTCTGGTTGGGGGTGGGGGTAGCAAGCACACACAATCACCAGCAATCCAGCCTGCAAAGTGCTTTGAGGAGGCAAGCCCCGGGGCTGTGAGAGCAGGGAGGAGGAAGTGACTGGTTCTGCTCTGGAGGTCACAGAAGGACAACAGCCTGGGGCATGACGCCAAGCACGTGTATGAAGGAAGATGGAGTGTTCTAGCCCCAGGGAAGAACATAAACAGAGGCACTGGGCATGGTCACCGTGAGGAAGCAACTGTTCCTATGGAATCCCCCTTAGTGATCACAGCCTCCGTCCTTCCCCTGATTTCCCTGCTTTGGCTTAGCCTACCCTTGACACTCGGCATGCCCTCAACCTCTGACCTCTCCCAGTTCTCCTCCTGCAGGGGAGACTTTCAGTCCCCTCTTCCCTGATCCCAAACCATTTGCCCACGAGGACTTCAGGAGAGTATCTTCCAAGAGAAACCTGGCCCCACTGCAGAGTCAGGCTGTCCATCTTCCAGGGAGTCTTCCTGCAGACCCTCATTCAACATAGGTGTCTCCCCAATTCTCTGGCCAACAAGCTACCCTTCTTTTCTCCCCTCAGACCCCAAAGCCTCTTTTGCCAAGCTCAGCATTTGCAGAATAGCCTCCCCCTGTAGCAACAGGCAGTGGTCATTTAGCTGCCACTCCCTCCATTTCTCTTCTTTCCACTCCAAATCCACACTCTCTCATCTCCCATTCTTTCCTCCTGACTCCCCCTCTCCAGCCTTACCCATCTCCTGTCCATGCTCCACCTAACTATCTGATATACAAAGATGACTATCTGATATACAAAGTTGTCCATGTCACCCATGCTTAAAATGTTTTCTAACTCCCTATCATTCGCAGGAGTAAATCCAGACTCCTCAGTTGGCATTTGAAGCCCCCCACACTCTCTCCAGGTGAATTCTGTACCAGTCCCTCGCATACCCTAAGATCCAGCTTCTTGGCCTATCCCGACCTGCCCTGCATTTTATCATACCTGTCACATCCTGAAGAAGCTGCAAGGTTGGGAAAGGCTGGGTGCTGGTGGTAACTCAAGACTGGAGGGAGAGGGATTAAGCATTGGGCACCTCACCCACAGAATAGCGGTCTTGGCATTTTGGGGGTCACCTACCTTTTTTTAGTGTCTCTTAGAAGCCATAGGTCCCCTTCCTACAAAAATTAATATATAATGTACCTAAACACAAATTGTATACCACATGTCTGGGAAGTTACAGACCTTTCCCTTACAGTCTGATATGGTTTGACTGTGTTCTCCCCATCAAATCTCATCTTGAATTATAGATCCCATAATCCCCACGTGTCATGAGAGGGACCAGGTGGAGATAATTGAATCATGGGGGCAGTTCCCCCTTACTGTTCTTGTGATAATGAGTGAGTTCTCATGAGATCTGATGGTTTTATAGACAGCTTTTACCCCTTTTGCTCGGCACTTCTCCTTGTTACTGCCATGTGAAGAAGGATGTGTTTGCTTCCCTTTCTGCCATAACTGTAAGTTTCCTGAGGCCTCCCCAGCCCTGCAGAACTATGAGTCAATTAAACCTCTTTTCTTTATAAATTACCCAGTCTCGGGTATGCCCTTATAGTGGCGTGAGAACGGACTAATATGCAGTCCATCCACGAACCCAGGTTTTAAAAGTCCTGCTACAGAGAGCAGGCAGGAACTGTGAAAGCTGACCTAGCCATGCCTTGCAGGTCCTTGTGCCACCAACATCCAGCAAGGATCTGAAACTGAGTTGGTGTCCATAAGAACTTGTGGAACTATGCTGAATTCAACAGAAGGCAGGAGCTGCCTCAGAGAGAGAGAAGGCTGGGGCTCAAGATACAAGGAGAGCTGAGAGGCTCAGGTAGAACTTCCCACAGGTATAGCTCATGGGGTTACCAACCCATCAGTGGACTTGCTGATAAAGGAAAGCAGGTGAATTCCAGGCAGCCACTGGGAAAAAGTTGCCCTGTCCAGGTTTCAGCTCAGGTCTGCCTCTTTGAAGCTGGCACCAGATAGGTGACCAGGCCTGACCACATCCCTGCATACCTAAGAGGCATTACAAACCTGATTGCCCACCTTTACCCTCCACCAGCCATTGCTTCTCCCATGTCAGTTAACGAAAGCACCATTCAACAAATTGCCTAGACAAAAACCCAGGAATCTTCCTTCATTCCTCTTTCCTTCATCTGCCACATCCAATTCATCAAAACTGCCTGTCATTTTAACCTCCAAAAATGCACCAAATTTACCTTTTCTTCATCTGCACTGTTGTCACACCGCTCCAAGCCACCATCATCTCTGGCTTAGGTGACATCTCCAACAAGGCATCCTGCTTCCACTCTTGCCCTGTGTGGTCCATTCTCTACACGGCAGCCAGAGCGACCTTTTATAAAATGTGAGATTATAGCATTCTACCACTACAGACTTTCTAGCAGCTTCCTTGAAATTAGAATTAAGTCCCAGGATCCTAACCATGACCTGCAAGACCCCCATGACCTGGCCGTTCTTTCTCTCTGACCTCACCTCGTGCGACTCTCTCTTTCATCATGCACCTAGCAAATGGCCTTCTTTCTGGTCCCCAAGAAGCCGCAGGCTCAGGGCCTTTGCACTTCCTGACCCCCCTGCTCCCCAGATCTGGGCATGACAGACTCCCACACATCCCTCACTCTCAGTTCAAATGGCACCTCCTCAGAAAGGTGAGACCCCATCACTACCAATCCCATTGTCCTGTCTTATTTTCTTCATAGTATTTATCACGGGCTGAAATATTTTTGTTTATTTCTTCATGTTATTGACTGATTTCCAACTAGAATGTAAGCTCCACGTGAATAGGGACTGATTTCTCTCTTTTTAGTCCTGGAGCTCAGAATAAATGAAGTGACAAAAGGGAAAAACGAGGTAATGACTCAGGGCCCCCAGGGATATGGGTTTGAGGTAAGGGTCAGGCCAGAGGAGGGCCAGAACAAGGCAGAATAAGGGGCTTGAGCACCCCCTCCCAGTCCTTCCTGATGGGGCCCCACAGCTCACTAGTGTGACTTGCTGCAGGAGGACTCCACCAGAGGCATGAATGAGACAAGGCACCTTGGCAGCTCCTCCTAATTCTAAGAAACTGTAGCTAGTGGACTGTTCACCAGCATGTGTACTGCTGCCACCGTGAGTCCCTGGGATAGTTAATTCTCTGCACTAGGCTATGGTGGCCAGTTGTTTGATCAAACACCAGTTTAGACATTGCTGTGAAGGTGTTTTTGGCATGTAATTAACATTTAAATCAGTAGACTTTGAGTAAAGCAGATTACACTCCATACTGTGATGGGCCTTAGCTTATAGGTTTAAGGCCTTAAGAGCAAAGACTGAGAGTTCTTGAAACAGAAGGAATTCAGCCTCAAGACTGCAATATAGAAATTTCCTGAGTTTCCAGCTTGCCAGCTTGCCCTACAAATTTCAGACTAGCCAGCCCCGCAATCATGTGAGCCAGTTCCCTAAAACCCACCTCTCTTTCTCTCTCCTTCCCTCTCTCTTCCTCCCTTCCTCCCTCCCCCTCTCTTCCTCCCATATGTATGTATTCATCTATATATTCGACAGGATATATACCCAATAGGGTGGATGGGTAGATATCTTACTGGTTCTGTTTCCCTAAAGAGCCCTGACTAATAATACACTCCTTTCCCCTACTTCATCCGCAGAGAGGGAAGTAGCCTCCGTCCCCGTCTCTTCCTCCCAGATGTATGTGTGTATCTATATACTCGATAGGATATACATCCAATAGGGCAAACGGGTAGATATCTTACTGGTTCTATTTCTCTTGAGAGCCCTGACTAATAATACACTCCTTTCCTCTACTTCATCCTCAGAGAGGAAGTAGCCAGGGAAAATCAAGTAAGAGTGAGGTCACTGTGGAAGTCCCAGAAGTGCCGTGGTTCTCTTCTCAAACATGAAGGGCCCCAGGGTACCAGCCTGTGCATCACCCTGCGAGCCTGTCCTGCAATCCTTCCAGGAACAGCCTGGTTTGTGGCCTAATGCTCAGGCGGTCCCCTGTACTAATGAGATAATACGATCAGAAAATGAATCTAGTTTTAAAAGAATGTTGATAAATGCGGCAAACACGCGCTCAACAGATTACATATCAATGTTAAAGAGTCACCAAAGCCTCTCTTCTCGTCAGATGTAGTCATTCATTCACTCACTCAACAAATATTTATTGAAAGCCTGCATGTGCCAGACATTCTTCTAGGCATCAGGAATGCAGCAGCAAACAAAACAGTGACATTCAGGCAGAGAGAGATGGATAGTAAAGAGATTGATACAGAATACGTTATGTGGTGATGATAAAGAGCTACAAAGAAAAATGAATCATGGTAAGGGGAGTGGGGGTGTGAGTGAAGAAAGTGTCTAATTGATGTGGGGTGTGTAGAGAAAGCCTCTTTGTTAAGGGATCCTCTGAACGGAGGCCTAAAAGGAGTGAGGGAGTGAGCCAGGCAGCACTGTGCGAGAAGAGCATCCCAACAGAGGGCCCAGCAGATGTGAAGCCCCGAGGCTTGGCATGCTGGCATCTTCCAGGAACAAGGAGGCCAGTACGACCAGAATAGAGTACACAAAAGAGAGTCCAGGAGAAGGGGTTGGAGGCCAA